TATATATATATATATATATATTACTACATATTGAACCCAGGGTCTTTGCATTGAGCTACATCCCCAACTCTTACTATTTTTAATTTTGAGACAGGATCTCACTAAGTTGCCCAAGCTGGGCTCAAGCTTTTGATCCTGTCTCAGTCCCCCAGAGCACTGGGATCACAAGTGTGTGCCACTATGCCCAGCTAATGTTTTGTAATTTTTTACTTTGAGCTCATTTGAGAGACACTGTCAAGAACAAAAAGGTGATTAATACAGTGGTAAACGCAATTAAAACACAAAAATCATGACGGAGTAAAATGACACGAATCTTAAAAAAGATGATCACTCCAAGATAGTTTTTTGTATGGATTCTAAAATGTAGAATTTCAGAGATAAAGGATATTTTCAATAATATTAACATATACAAAAACTTTTAAGTACAGTAAGACCATGGAATATCACTACCAAAATGTTCATTTTGCATTGATGAAAGAATGAGGGAAATATTTGCAACATTTTATTGACAAAACACATCCGCAGCCCTGTGTTCAATTTGAGGTATAAAATTTTTAATGAAAATGTTGGCAAAACAGATGTGTTCAGAAGATAGTAATCCTGTTGATAAAAGTTCTTTAAAACCAGGAAGACAACTGGGCATGGTGGCACCCATCTGTAATCCCAGCACTCGGGAGGCTGAGGCAGGAGGATCATGCAAGTTCAAGGCCAGCCTGGGCTATAAAATGAGTTCAAGACCAGGCTGAACTGCATAGTGAAACTTTCTCAAAAAGACAGAAACAAGTAACAACAACAAAAAACCAAACAAACCCAGGAAGAACTAGAGGAACTTTTTTTTTTTTGAGACAGGGTCTTGCTATGCAGTTCAGGCTGGCCTCAAACTCACAATGATCCTCCTGCCTTAGCCTCCCAAGTGCTGAGATTACAGGCCTGCGCCACCATGCCTGGCTCTGGAGCAACTTTTAAAAGATTTACTTAGCGTCTATTAGATACTATTTAGTAGATTTGGGGAGGGGTAAAACTAGAAATGGTGGGAGGACCTATAGGGGAACAGGGAACCCCTTAGAGCTGGAAAAGGGATAGGGACACTTTAAAGCTTGAGAGAAAAATCTCTGCTTTGTTCCAAGAATGTAAATAACAGGCTATCTGCAGTTTTTATGACTCTTGTCTACCTTAATTGTTGCAATTTGTACCCAAGTTCCTCTCTCAGTCCAGCAAACCAACCAACCAACCAATTAGGTGGGGTAACCCCACCACCTCAACCCTATAAAAGAGCCCTTATCCAGCTCTGGGGCTCCCACTCCTGGAGTGGCTTTGTATCCTTTGTTCTGTCAATAAAGACTTCACTCTTGCTTTGTACTATGTTCTTCTTTCTGAGTGGGGAAAGAGAAGTCCAGGAAAACCTGAGGGGCTGGTGATCCCAGACCTATCTCTGTCCCAGTACAGGGCCTGACACTTAGGGACAGTTAAAATGAACAGACACTCATGTGACAGTCCTAGGCAGAAACCAGGGTCCCTGGGGGAAATGCTTGACAATGGACCCTTCTTCCTTTTTTAAATAGATCACAGACATCCATAGCAACTTTAGCCTGGGGAAGCTGGCTGAGTGGAGATGAGGGCCTGCATTCCCAGGTCGTGCTGGGGACAACATGAGCTTGGCTGTAGGGGCCTTAGTACATGTCAAATTTGTCTTTGTCCTGGAGGTAGTCCTGTGTGAACATGTAGTGGCTGCTGTGGCTGAACTTCACATCCAACACTGAGGTGCTCTCAGAGAAGGAATGGCTGCTGGTCCTTGGGTTCCTCCAAGAGCTTGGAGTGTTTGTTCTGCCCACATGTTGCACAGCCGTAAGGAGCCCTTGCTGCTGTAAATGCCTAGGTTTCTGAGGTAGAGGGTGGAACCTAGACACAGTGACCATCTCCTAAACACGTCCATGTTGGCCAGCTTGATGTCCACCACATTGAAGCGCCTGTTGCTGACTGCCAGATGCCAGGTAGTTGGCTGACATGTAGGTCTGCAGTCACTGTTGGCAGATGGAGCTCATGTGGTAGGCGTGGCCACTGGCAAAGATCCTCCCTGGGCTCACCTCCACCAGCAGGTCCACGGGCTTCAGCACAGGTACCCGCAATAACATCACTGGGAATAGGTCCTTCAACTTCCCCTCCTTGTCCATCACGTTGTGGCCCTCAGGCCTTTTATCCCACTGAGTGAGCATCCATAACTTGCTGGGATTTTATCAATAGATAGCAACAAGTAGGCTGTGGGAGCCATTTGATTTTGATCTTGTCCTCTATCTCCAGGCCCTTGAGATAATCCAACTTGGGCGCATGGCTCTGGAAAGTGGTGTAGAAGCGGCACTTGCATTGGCCAAGAGGCACATTTTTTGTTCTCTGGTTCCCCCTAGAAGAAGATAAGTCGGTTGCCCTTGTGGCCTGCGGCCAGCAGCTCCCCATGGTGTGACTGAATTCAAACTCAATGGTAGAGATGATATTACCTTCGGTCACATAGCTGTAGTCTTGGTCAGAAGCTGTGGTTAATTTTCTGCTGTTTCCAGGGCCCCTCCACCCCATGAATGCAATTTGTGGAGGGGATGCTGGATGTGCGGGTCCTACCGCTGCAGCCTAGCAGGGGTGCCAGCCAGTACAAACAGGCTGCAGGCAGCTATGGGTTTGTGCGCATCCTACCCAGCTGTGCAGGACAAGGCGCAGCCTGAGAACGTGTTCTAAGCACAGTGGTGGTAGCGTGGTGCTAAGAACTGAGCAGGTGAACTTGGTTCTCCCTTTAACTAATACTTTAAAAATATTTTGCTGCTCATGACTTGCTTTTTTTTTTTGGTACTGGGAATTAAACTCAGGACCTTGTGCTTGCCAAGCAGGTGCTTGTGCCACTGAGCTATATCCCTGGCCTATGACTTGCCTTAATGGAAATAATGAACGAAAGGGTATCAACAGACAAAATTAATACCTCATATCAATAACCAGTCTGGATATTACCTTCAACTAGAACTAGTCTAAGGACCATAAAAGTATACTAATATGCATTTGTACATGTATTTATAAAAAGCATTCTAAAATTGCCCATTAAAATTGCCCATTTATCTTAAAATTGCCTTAAAATTGCCCATTTATCCCTGTCTCTTTTCTCTCATTGCGGAGACAAAATACCTGACACCCAGAATTAAGGAAAGAGGGGCTGGGGATTTAGCTCAGCGGCAAAGCGCCTGCCTGGCAAGTGCAAGGTCGTGAGTTCGGTTCCCGGTACCGGAGAAAAACCAGAATTAAGGAAAGAGAAGTTTATTTAGCTCACAGTTTGTGGAGGTTTCAGTCCATACTCGGCTGGCTCCAAGGCAGAGTGCACAAGGCAGAGTGCACATGGCAGAGGGCAACCATTCATGGCGGAAAATAGCAAAAGCAACAAGAGCAAAAAGGGAGGAGTGGCAAAGAGCAAGGCTCTTTCCCTCCCTTACACTGTATGCAAACTACCCGCCCAGGGCAGGTGTAGCATTCACACCCATAATTCCAACACTGGACCACAAATCAATCATGAACTCTAGAAGCCCACCCCATGACTGCATGAGGCTTTGGGGGGACATATCCAGACACAAACTGTAACAATCTCACTTCCCAATTCCTTTACATCTATGAACTATGATTAAATAAATCCTATCTCTAAGGAGAATGGTGTGGAGTTAAAGTAGCAGAGTAAGTTCTTTCTCAACTGTCCTTTGAATTTGTCATCATGCTTGACTGTCACGTGCTTTTCACAGAACAGGCTTCTCAATACTCACATCATCTTCTTTCAGGGTTTGAAGAAATTTCTGCAGTTTGTCTACTGTCTTATCTGTTGCTAATGACAAAATTTTCTGGTCCATTGTTGCTTTTATCAGGAAACTGTAAGGAAAAAAATGTTAAAAGCTAGATGAAGCTTCTAGAACTCAACAAACTTATTTTTCCTTCCCTGCTTGAGTATTTCACCTGTTACAGACAACACATATTGGGTGATGAATAGGTTAAGAACTACAAAATAGTATGTATGAGGTGATTCTTATCCTAACCAAGGTAATCTTGAGAATTTCCTTATTAGAAATCTATATTCCAATCAAGTGGCTTCAAATTTTTGTCATCTATTCAGCATACTGCTTAAAACCAAGCTGTCATTTAATTGTATATCAACTTACTACATTATAAATATTTATACAAGAACATAAAAGCATGTAATGAAGTAATATTTGGTAAATAATGAAAAGAAACAACACTAAATGCTAAGTGTCAATTAAATTGTATTTAAAAAAAGTCAACAAGGCTAGAAATATAATAGTATGGTCAAATGTCAAGAAGTCAACCCCAAAGCCAGGCATGGTGGTGCTGGCCTGTAATCCTGGAACTCAAGAAGATTGACACAAGTTGAAGGGCAGCCTGGGCTACACAGCAAGTTCAAGCCTCAACTATAAAGCAAGACCTTGTCTTAAAAAAAAAGAAAAGAAAAAGAAAAAAAAGGAGCTGGGCATGGTGGCACATACCTGTAATCCCAGCACTCGGAAGGTTGAGGCAGGAGGATCGTTGCAAGTTCGAGGCCAGCCTGGGCTACAAAGGGAGCTCAAGGCCAGCCT